TGTCTCTCCTCACCTGTCTCCTCCTCACCTGTCTCTCCTCACCTGTCTCCTCCTCACCTGTCTCTCCTCACCTGTCTCTCCTCCTCAGGTCAGAAGTGTGCGTTTTTCTTCACGCACGTTTATTTTGAAACGTCCCGTCGTGCGTGGAACCTTTCGTGCATGAGGTTCTATGAATAGGTGAGGCCAGAGTTACGTCACCGCGGCGATGACGTCACAGTTTGTTGACTCCAGCTGACGCACGTGGCCGTGTCGTTACGTAACAAAACAAACTGAAGATCAATCTGTTGCAGAGACTTTTAATTTGAAATCACTTTTCATCTTTTAAATGTTTAAAGCGACGAGTTTCAAAGTAAAAGCTTCGGGAAGTTCGGACCTGACCCAGCTGGTCCAGCTCAGACCCAGACATGATGCAGGAGTTCTGATTCACACCAACCCACCCGGACCAGAACCGACTGCTGCGTGTGCGCGCGTCACTCCAGGACTCTGGTCCTCCTCCTGGGGGGCGGGGCCCCCTATAGAAGCGGACCGGCTCTGGGCCGGTCTGCAGGACTCAGCTGACCCATGTCCGGATCACCTGCTCAGTTCAGGACCGGGGAGGATCCGGGACCGGTCCGGCCCGTGCAGAACGGTCTGGACTCTGAGGAGGACCTGGACGACGAGCTGGACGCGTCCCACCTGGAGAGGTTCATGCGGGACCGGAGGCGGGCCCGGTCCCTGCCGGCCTACCCGGCCTCGCTCCTGGACGGGGACTCCGGCAGGAAGCGGGTCAAGTTCGCGGACTCTCTGGGTCTGACCCTCATCAGCGTCAAGCACTTCAGCGCCCAGGAGGAACCTCAGATCCCCTCCAAGGTCCTGTCCCGGCACCAGAGCTTCCCGCCCCAGCAGCAGGACCTGGGCGACCTGCAGAACCTCCGGTCCGGCCTGGACACGGACCGGCTGGTGGCCTGCTTCCCGGAGCTCCGGGACTCGGACCGGAAGGTCCAGGACCTGCGGGTCTGCCTGGAGAAGGTGCTCATCACGCAGTTCGAGGTCCGGGGTCAGGTCCGGGTCCTGAGGGGGCTCGCGGTCCGGGAGGTGGGTGTCCGGTACACCTTCAACAGCTGGCTCTCGCACGTGGACGCGCAGGCGCTGCCGGTACCGGGAGAAGAAGCGGCGGGTTCGGAGCCGGGTTCTGTGGGGGACCGGTTCGGGTTCACGGTCTACACCCCGCCCTTCATGGACCCCAGCTCCAGCGTGGACTTCGCCGTGTTCGTGCGCAGCGACCAGGGCGAGTTCTGGGACAACAACCAGGGCCAGAACTACACGCTCCGGTACCGGAGCATGCCGGTCCAGAACTTCAGCAACGCCTTCAGCGCCACCTGAGCCGGAGCAGGACCCTCTGGACCCCGAGACCCACAGAAACCTACAATAACCTGCTGGACCCTCCTAAGGCCTCATTCCCCCCAAGACCCCAGTCTCCACTAAAACTTAATTTAAATCCCAGAACCAAAGAGGAGACCTGGATCAGCCTCTCGTGACCAGGACAAAGACCTGGATCAGCCTCTGGTCACCGGGACAAAGACCTGGACCAGTCTCACTGGGACAAAAACCTGGACCAGTCTCTGGTCACCAGCACAAAGACCTGGATCAGCCTCATGTGACCAGAACAAAGACCTGGACCAGTCTCTGGTCACTGGGACAAAAACCTGGACCAGTCTCTGGTCACCAGGACAAAGACCTGGATCCTTTACAGTCCCAGTGATTGAGTTAATTATGAAATGTACCAGTTAAATCTTGTTTTTGTTTGTTGTTAATCACCAACAGGAGCTTTAGTTCTAAACTGAAACTGAAACCTAAGTTCAGTTTGAGCTTTTCACATCTTTGGACTGGAAACCAACATGGCCGCCTTGTTTGTAGATGAACTTTTCGTCTGTTCGCTCTTCGTGTCTCAATAAATCAGTCGCACACCTTCGGCTCTTCGACTACCGTTAGTAAACGTGTCGCTGGTGGTGTTTGGATGCAGAAAATATAATTTTTGTAACATGTTTATTAGATTTTATTGCTAAACGTTAGCATAAACATCAATAAAGTGGAGCCACAAAGCTCCGCCCCTTTTTGGGTGAACCCCGCCCCTTTTTTGAGTGAAAGCAACGTGAATAAAACAGTTGTTATTTCTACTTGAACAGCTTCTGTTTCACAAGGTTTGTTTAGCCAAAAGAGGGCGGAGCTACTTGTAGGACAACATTGTTCCACTGCAGTACCGTTGTTTGAAGTTGATCACGGTTAAATGGGTTAATTAAACCCACGTTTTGTCTTCAGGCACGCGGAGACACTCAGGAAGTACTCGGTCGGTTTCAAAGTTCATGCTCAATCATCCAGGTACAAAATCCATAACGGTCCTTCAGGTCAACCTGATTGACCATTATGGATTCAGTTGGTTACAGTTTTTACCACTAGATGTCACGAAAACCAGCAGACTGGACGGAGGCTCAGCGGTTTGTGGTTCTTGGCAGTAAGTCCAAACCCAGACGTTGTGGAACTTTGGGGCAGGTTGAGCAAGTCTGTGTTCATATTGTGAAACATGGTGAGCCTCGGTGGAGGCCGAGCGCCGTCACAGCTGCTAAAATGATTTTGTTTTTGTTTCAAATCAAATATTTGTGCTCGTGTTGCACAAGTGGTCGATGAAATATGACGCTCGTGCTTCAGCTCCGGAGGCTGGCTGGAAACCAAGTTCTGGATCCCGAGCCGGTCACATGTAGCACCGTCCAGAGGAGTCACAAACGGCTCCACGGTGGAGGATTCAAGCTGCAACAAGTTCGGCTCGTTCAGCATGTGGGTGCTGTGATTTCATTTTCATTAGATTTTATAGTTTTTAAACTTTCATTACAAACATTCGCCCCGTAGAAGCTCACGAACGTCTTCAGCTCCTTCAGACAACGAGTTCTCTTTAAAATCTGCTTCAGCTGCTGGCTCCATTTCTGTCTTCTGCTACATTTAGCTGTTAGTCACCTGGCAACTTCAGCTGCGAGCTAGCCTTTTGTTTTTAGCTTTTAGACAACCTTATGCTACTTTTAGCCAGCCTGTTGCCAATTTTAACTTTGAGCTAGCCCTTTGCTACATTTTTAGCTCTTATTTTAGCCTTTTATTTTGTACATTGTTAGCTTTGCACTACCTTTAACTTTCAGTTAGGGTGGGGGTTGGGGGCCTTGCTCAGGGGCCCAGGGTGGGGCAGGTAAGGGTACTTCACCTATCCCACCCACATTTTGATGTTGTCAGTACCGGGAGTTGAACCGGTGATCTTCCGATCATGGGCCCACCTTCTCTACCCTCTGCGCCACCACACCCTTTATCCTTCTAGTTTGAATATTCTGTTAGCTTTTTGTTACTTTTAGCTTTCAGCCACTAATTGACATTTTTAACTTTCCGCTAGCCTTTTGCTACTTGTTGCTGTTAGTTAGCCTTTAGCTACATCTATCTTATAGCTAGCCTTTGTTATTTACAGTAATTAAACTAGTGTTTTGCTAATTTTAGCTAACCTTTAACAAATTTTAATGTGGAGCTAGCCTTTTACTACTTTAAGCTAACGTTATTTTCCTAATTTTATCGTGTAGCTTGTCTTTTGCTACTTTTAGCTTTTTATCTTTCAATTTTGCATATTCTGTTAGCTTTCTGCTACTTTTAGCTTTAAGTTAGTCTTCTGCTACTTTTAGCCAGCATTTTTTGCAGAAGCTATAGTAATGTAGCTTAAGTTTAAGCTAAATAAAATTAGCTTAAACTAGCTAAACCTTTGAGCAAGGAGCTGAAAGTGGAGATGTTTCCAGGTCAGATGTTTGTGAGTTTCAGGAAATACAAACCTTCATGAACCAGGAAGTTCTGGGTCTCTGACGGACCCGGTTCAGTTCCAATGTAAACAGAAACGTTCAGTTCTTCCCAGGTCCGTGTTGCCAGCCAGGTCTTTGTCCCTGCAGGACTCGGTCCGGCCTGGTGTCTTTCCTTCAGGACCAAAGTCCAGAGGTCCTCTGACAGCTGACCTCACATGTTTGTTGAGTAAACACTGAGGCTCCGATCAACAATAGTCCAGATAAACACGTC